ACAATCTCCCACCTGTTCCATCCTGGGTTATTGCAGTGACTCATTTTGTTCAGTCTCTCTTTTGCACTCTCTCCATTTTTCCCAGCATGTCTTTTTCCAAGGACTGGTTCTAACAAGTATGTGGCTGCACTTCCTTAAAGACACACTCACTTGTTCTTTTATGGTCCATAGGATATTCAGTATTCTTGGATAACACAATTAAAGGCATGCAATCTTCTTTGATCCTCTTGATTTGCTACTAACTTTCAACACAAAGGAAACAACTGAAAATACCACAACTTAAATCAGATGCACTTTAGTTTTTAAACTGACCATGTTGCTTTTTAAGCACTTTGGAGAGGTCACTGACTTAATTAAGGGCTCAAAAAGCATTCCTTCATGTCTTCTATGAGAAGAGCAACTTGTAAAACGTTTCCTTGTCTTTTCTTATTTCTTGCCCCAAAATAGAAAATCTTCTGACCTTTTTCCAGTCTGTGCAAATGATTTTAAACAAATAGTTAGCAAATTTCCAGTACTGAGTCGAATCACTGTCAAATTCAATTCTGTGCCACAGACATTTGGAATCAGGGCATTCTATTATTTTTGTGTGAGTGTACCGTCAAATCAGATCTGAGTGGTACAGGAGGAGATCGTTCCTCCTTCCCCGGCAGAGTATCTGGTGGATTCGAACCATGCGCCTCTGGGATTGCAGTTGCAGTTCCTTGCCACTAGGCTACCACAGCTCCCCTAAGGGCATTCTAGAAAGCAATAATTTATACAAAATGCCTTCACCTTCAATCCTATTTACATTTCATCCTTCCACATAGCCTAAGGAAATAAGATAATTTGAGAGAAGAAGCAATATATAACTATTCATATGAAGCAAATGAAGAAAATTAGCAATCAGCTCCACAATTACATGTAACTTAACGTTTCTGCTTTCATAAATAAGGATCTTGTCCTTCATCATGGATTTTTATCTATCTGTTCATTTTGGAATGTGTTCCACAAATTTGCCCAACTATAAGAATCATCAACAGGCCTAGTTGTAAATCCAAATTCCCAAACTCCTTCCTACATACATATTTAATTAGGAACCATTGTCTTACTATGGGTCAAGTTTGAGAAACAATGTTCTCAAAATTGTGTTTATTTAGAAAATATTCCTTAACTAATTTTTTTTTTTACTATCTTAAGTAACCTACACACCAAGATACAGCCTAGTCCACTTTAAGGTTAGTATGGCCAAAAGATGTATGAAAACAACAAATATTCTAATTATTAAATCATTATTCTGAGGGACTTATAGTCCTTAACTACTGTCTTAGGTAGACAAGTAAATTGTTTAAAACTTCAATTATTTGAGACTTTATTAAATAGCGTTCTTTTTTATCAATATTTTTAAAAATAATTTTGTCTCATCTGATACTAATGAAAACTTGCAGAGACTGAAATAGCTCTATCTAAAATTCAAAAGGCAATGCACACTCAGGAAAAGCTTATAAAAAATGTAATAAAACAAAATGTATTTGGTTATATCTGTTTATCTCACTATGTGATGACTAGTACAGAACACAGCACAAAGAAGAATGAATATGCAGTGAGGAGGAAAGAAATGGAGCATGAGCCAGTGAAATGGAGGAAGACGGCATTCTAGAGCTTAGTATCATCTGTAGGGAAGAGGAAAAAAAACATTTTAAATAATTATTTAAATTATCAGGTAAATACCACGAACTTTATCAGCATTTACCTGAATTATTGACATTGAAATTTGTTTTGAAGAAGGGACAACTAAGTTCCACAGGGCAACAAAATTATAAAAGCGAGAAGGAATAAAAAAAAAGAAAAAGCCAAGATGGCACTTGAAGTATCACAAAGGCCACGACAAGCAGTCCTTGTGGACAGATGCTTAGAGGGTCCAGTCCATGTGCTTTCCATGGTGATTCAGCCTCAAAACAGAGGCCTCAGCATACTTAAGTGCCAAGATTCACAAGAACACGAGTGAACAACAAAGAAGAGAATTCAGGTAGAAGGGGGTAAAAACTGAGTGGATGTGGAATGGAGCGATGAAGGAACACATGCAACACTTCATGCAGGCATGTCAGGAAGACAATGGGCACCAGGCAACACGGGGTGGTGACAGGTCAGTCATAGGAACCAAGCGCTTACCCTCTGCTTTAGTGGCAGTACCATCTTTAAGCAAATTAAAACACAAGGGAAGGGATAACAGGGAACAATTAGTAACATCACGAAATAAAAAAGTAGAATGTTATTAGCTACTGAGAAAGCAAAAATACAATTTAAAACAAAATTAAAAGGAAAAAGCAATCTGAAGTAAGCCTTCTAATGAAGTTCGCTCAGGAGAATGTAATTTGATCTTTGAGAACAAATTTTTAAAAGAGCAATCCATAATAATGTCATAGATGAAAATGGGATTGTTTTTGTTTCGGGCGATACTCATCCTCTTTAGAGTTCCTTCTCCATGGAATTAAGCAGAACAGAGGTAGAAAAAAGGGAAACCTAAGCCACTCAACAGTCCTTTCACAGGGCAGAGGCAAGAAAGCAGCTGAGGGAAGCTAGCTCCAGCAATGCCTAACCCACTACAGGTCCCGCAGCAAACACAACAGGCCAGCACAGTACCTGGGTCCATGTCTTCCCTCACGTGTCTGGACTCTAGAAGTTTGGAAAATGATCATCAGCTTTAATGCCATGCTTTTGTACAAATGTAAGACGATTATTATACAATGAGGCAAACTGAGTAGTAACAATAACAAATGTTCAGTAGGGCTATGTTCTGCTTCAGATTTTATGTGGTGGTGTGCTTTTTTATTGGTTTTTTAAATAAAAATCCCCCGCTCATGGCCATCAAGATGACCCAAACTCACAGGAACCCTGTAGGACAGCAGAACGGTTTCAGAGGGCTTCCAAGGTGGTAATTTTTATTTTGTGATGTGTGAGTAGACTTCCATGTCACTCTACTGTGATGCAGCTTGGTGGGTTCAAACTGCTGCCCTTTCCATTAGTAGCTGACCCCTTAATCACTAAACCACCAGTGTTCCTACTAAGAAAATAAATGTATAATTCTCTGGAAAAGGTAAGAGAATCATATTATTCTGGTCTTCTTGTTAGAAAGGTACCACCTGGCTGAAATGATCACCAATGCCTCTAAAGAGACCACTTCCACATCATGAGATCAGAAGGCCCCAGCACTTCTGCAGCCCGAGGAGGCCACACTCTCAAACTACAACATTCCAATACTCAAAGGAAAAACCAGTTAGCTAGTCTCAAAAGGTCATTTTTACTCAACTTTTCAAGTAATGAGCCTAAAGCAATTATAAATATTAAAGGTGGATCAAACGTGCAGGTGAAACTCATTACAGCTCTCTGCTTTCCTGTGTCTCAGTGGCACAGTGCTTTTAACAGTTGGAGGGCTGGCAGCCACCCTGTATTGAATAAGTCCACTGGCACCATTTCACCAATGGCGTGTGCTCACTGGAGGTCAATGTCTCACATTTTGGTAATTCTTGCAATATTTCAAACTTTTTTACATGCTAGTGAACACATAAAAGTGTACCATACTTTTACATGCACTGGGGACCAAAATTTCAAGTGAATCATTTTGTTGCAGTGACATGGAACCAAATCCACACTCTCTCCAAATTATACTTGTACTTACACATGGGAGGGTGGTTAAGTACTTAATAAAAACTGAACTACAATTAATAAGTTTTGTTATTCATTATATACACGCAGAGTCATTACTTCTAGTTTAACGACTACATGTCTAAATAACATAAATACATGGACACAGCACTGCAATAGTTAACTAGCAGAAAAGAAGCGTTCTTACCAAGTTTCTTCCAAATTGAAATGTTTGAGATTGAAGTATTTGTTCTGATAAACATCATACATTGAAATTCACAAAGTTCCCGTACTAAGCCTATCTTAGAAGATAATTTACCATGGGCCTTTAGATCATTTCATCAATTAATATCTCAAATCTGTGTTAGGTGTCTACTGCCAATAATTGGGAGGTAGGATAAACAGATTTAAAGATCCCACGGGTAGGTCCAGGCCACAAAACAAATCAACGGCAGACCCAAGAGTTTCTCTCAGCGTGATGCTGCAGTGCTTCCCAGGTTGAAAACATTTTCAGAATTTTTTAATTTACTTTGGAATTAAATTAGTTTTAAGCCACTTATATAATTGAGTCTCAAAAAAACTTAAATTTTATTCATTTCCTTATTATCTGCAATAAAACTGTCTAGCTTTAGTTAAACCCACAGTTTAATTTTTAATATGGCTTTTTAAAAAGATAAACTCAAATCAGCCTCATTACCATCAGTGTTAAATGTCTACTGGGAAAATGAGTAAACTGGCCTTTTACTGTGTCCTATATTCTTTTGGAAGAGAATCTAAAAGTAATAAAACAAAAGCAAAACAAATCATGTGGTCAATAATTTGAGTAAGGGTGCAACATTATCATGGCAATCTATGAGAGGACAGCATTCTCTCCACCTTTTTCCTTTGGATCCCCACCTGACTCCCACCAGTATATTTTTAAGTTGAGAGATTGCTACAAGGACTCACTTTGGCTTTCTTCCTTATATTCTTTGGCTTGTTCCCTCACACTAATGCCAGGACGATGGGAAAATCCAGCTTCAGCCTTACAAAGAGGGACCATGCCACAACTTAGTAAGTGAAATGGAGTGGAGGGAGTACCCAGTACACATGTACAAGCCTGAGTGTACTTTCATGTCAAGAAGCCAATATCCAAGGGCCACCGAATGGAGATACCCACAAAAATGCGCTGCTAACCAGAAACAAGTACTTAAATATCCAGTCTCATAATAGTAAAATTGTTCTTAACTGGGGTTTTTGTCATGTGTTCAATAAGCAACCCAATTTAAGGAGAACTACAGCGACAGTCAAGGAGATGATGTCTTTCAACAACAGCAGCAACAGAAAAACTGGACAGGAGGGACTTGGTGTGGAGATGGAGGTGTGCATAGTGTCATTACCTAAAGATGCATAAGATCCTGGAGGTAAAGCCGCGGCAGAGCTGAAAGGCGTAGTGCCTGAAGTCGCAGAGACTTTGGATTTGGCACTGGCTGCTGCATTCACATCAATATCACTTCGAGACCTCTGAAGAGACCCAGTTGTTGACACAGATTTGGTACTAACTGTACATGCTTCAGGAATAAAGGATATAGTGTTAGTAAGGTCTAGAAAGAATTAAAAATATGTATCATTAAACAGTTAGTGTTGTTACACTTTCTTGAAAGGAAATAACCAGTCTTAACAAATATCTAAGCACTAAAGGCATAACATAGCAAAAGAAGTTGAGTTTAATTGAAGGACATTACAACTATACATGTACAGCGTTTGTTTTGTTATAATTAAACACTATTAAGTCACTCACCCACAAATGGGTCATATTTCTGGTTAACATGAAAAGTAAAATAATACAAAAACTCACTGATAGCCACTTTCCTTAGGAAAAGGCATAAACGTCAAGCATACACCTATTTAGAAGGAAGGCTTCCTGTCTTTTCCAGGGCAATATATCACTTCCCATTTCTAACAGCCACTATAGGATGCTGCTATTTAAAACCTTATAGTCTGCCTTCACTTTTCAAGTGATCAGAGCAATACAACACCACTATTTGACGCTGTAACAATTTGGTGGAGAATACTGGGAAAGAAGATGTCATAGTGCTTATCTTCTGCCTACAAACTCAGGTCTGAAACGTGTTGTTCCTCACTAGCAAATGGCCTCTGGACATGCGGAGCTCTGCTAAGGATAATCAAGAACAAAACTGAGCTGGATCCTTTCCAAAACTAAGAACGCGAGGGCAGGCTTCCTGCAATGAATGCACGCAGCTGCCTCTGCTCTGTTCATCTCACCTCTGGATGTGGTACTTCCAGTAGGACTTCTTTTTGCAGTGAGCGGCCGGCTAGAAACAAAGGTGTACATCATTTATTATCAACTACGCAATTTTTCTCCTTTAAGGCAACTACAACTTACTAAAGGAAATGAGGATAATTAGCCTTTTAGAGGACCAAAATCTTACAAAATCCCAATTAGGCAAAGCTTTAGTGTAATATTTTGGGGTGCTCCCACAGGGAGAATGGGTAGAAATACACAGAGACAATGATAATGCACTGAGCAAAAAAGAAAAAAAATCTAAGTCCATTTCCATGAAGTTAACCTGACTCATGGCAGCTCCTGCATATCGGAGGGAAATCGGGCTCCTCTGAGTTTTCAATGGTTTGCTAGTTTTTCTTTTTTCACCGGGTGGGGCAGTGGTGGTAAACTGCTTGCCAAGTGGTCATTCCAAGGTGTCCCTGGGTGGGCTAAAACCACCAACTTGGTGAATAGCAGCCCAAATTAACCATTTCTAACCACCAGGGACTCCAACTATAGATGAAGTCTCAGGTTTTCAACGCTCTTCCAAGCTTATCTCCAGGTTAATTCTTATCACCTTTACAAAACTGAAGCATTTATGTGTGTATAAAGTTTAATAGAAAGCTCAATTAATTCACTCATGTTACTATATATCTATGTTAAAACCTGCCTTGTGAATTCCACAGGAAACTACCTATGGCAGAGAGCAAAGTTGCCTAGCTTACCATTCATTACAGCAACTTTACCTAGTATCAGACTCTACCTGATGTAAAGGTTTCAGGGTCTTAATAATAGACAGGTGAATATATTTTAAAAACACAGGTAGACTTTATGTTTTAAAACAGTAAATTCTTAAAGAGAAAATATCTTACAAAAAAAAATCAAAGCTGGATTCCTTACTTCAGGCTTTCTTGAGAGCTAGAAGATGATCGATCTGATTGAGGCAAAGACACTATGCTGTCGGAGTTCTTCAGATGGGACTGCAAAGCTTTCTGGTAGGAGGACTCCAAGGTATGGTATAAGTGTTCTGCTTCTCTGCTGAAGTGACTGTGGAAACCCCAGTAACATCTAGAAAACAATACAACTTGTTATAGTCAATGGATCATAACAGGCAGTCACTGATTTATGGAGTACAATACGTATTTTCTAGAAAAATAATGTCATTTATTTGTTAACATTGTTTTTGCTGTTGTGCGCCATCAAGTTGGAACTGACCCTCTAGTGGGTTTTCAGAGGCAGTTAACTGCATAGGAGGAGACTGCCCATCCTTCTCCCGCAGAGCACCTTTGTGGATTTGAACCACGTCACATGCCTTTGGAACTGCAGTGTAGCTTTTTATCAAATTGGAAATAGCAGCAGCATGATATAATGAAGACAGAAAATGAACAAAACCGACCTGGTATGAAACCTGGATGCATGATTGACTGGTTTTTTTTTGACACTGGACAAGTTACTAAATTTCTCTGATAGTCACTCTTATTTACAAACCAGGAATCAAAGGGCCTAGCTTACAAGGCTGAGAAGCAAGTGACTGTAGCACAGTAAAATAACAGGTTGTTGTTACTTTAAGTGCCACTGAGTCCTAGACAACTCATAGCAACCCTATGCACGAAATACCAGAACACCTGTTAACTTTTATCATTTCTCCAAGTTCATAGAGTTTCTGGAAGCAAGCTATTTTGGAAGTGGATGCTGTTCCTGCTTCCAAGCTTGTTTTAATCAGGAAGCTCCACCAAACACTATCCACCATGGGTAACCATTATTGCATTTGACACATCAGTGTCACAGTGTTTAGCATCACAGCAACCACACGTTACTTCTGTACAGCAAATGGACAGACCAGTGCTATACCACTTAGAAGAATGTGTGACCAAAATCAATTAAAACCAGGGATGAGGGCTGCAGATTAAAATCACCCAACTTTGACTGGGTAGCATAACTTTCTATCCGCCATGCCCACACAGCTCTCTCTAGGTTGGTATTATTGTTGTTAAATGCAAATACCCTTTTAAATAGGAGGTGGTATACAATCAATTCACTCCCAGTGGCTAATAAATATTGCCCATTATGTCTCCCTGAAAACAAGATCAAAACCCTGTAGAACCAGGCTGCTCCAGCTTTTATAAATGCAGAGGAGCTCTCCTGGGCCTATTTAATAGGAAGTGTGCTGCCAAGCCCAAGGTGGAACTTCTCTGGTGGTTCTGAGTGTGGAAGATGAGGAATCCCTCCTGAATAATTTAAAGCCTCCAGAAACTCAAGCAGGAATCAGCTCTGAGTCAGTTCAAGCTCGATAGCAGCAATGAGCAATGAAGTTAATAAATTTTCTTAACTATCTGAACTATATAGTACAACTGCAAATTGCATGAAGGGGAAATACAAGTCAAGGAATAAAATAAACAAATCCATTTCTAACCTTTCTATCAACTGTTTATTAAGTTGTTGTTTTTTTAAAAAAAACCCCAAAACAAAACAGGAATCCTTAAGATAAAGTTGTGGTAGGCACCTTGGAGTTTGAGATCCACAAGTGAAACCAGAAATACTATAATCACAGTTAAGAGTCAACAAAAACTTAAAATGTTCAAGGCTAGAGTTTAGCCTGTGTCAACTAGAAGATGCAGTCAACTATTAAAGCATAGAAAAATCAGGAGTAGGTACAAAACTGACTAAGACTTAGGATACAACATCTAGTATCCATAGACACAGGGCAAAATTATTCCCAGACAGAAGCTAAATAGGGTCATCGTGGTTGTATGGTGGGAGCATAGTCAGTCTTACAGCGAGAGTGCTTAACAGAGAAATGGGACAAATGAGTGACCACTGGGATGGGACCCCATGTATCAGGTTAATCCAGTGCCCCTTCCTGGGGCTCATACTCACTGCTAACAGTACTGCGCTTACGAAGATCCGAGTACTGCTAACAGTACTGCGCTTACGAAGATCCGAGTACAATCCTCTGTGACAACAACACCCCATGGGAGATCAATAAAGAAAACACATAGGATGCTGTCTATCTCAGGACTGTTTATATTAAAATAACATCAATTCTAGGCACAAAACTACTTTCTAAAGAAAAATATTCTGAAATGGCCTTTCTGGGTCATATGAAAATTATTAATAATAAAACATGTTCCAGTTAATTAGTTTTAATGAGGTAATCAAGAGAATAAGTCTAAATATAAAAGCAGTTAATAAAAGAAGAGATATATTACAAGGACTTACTTTCTGGCTTCTATTCTTGCTTCAGAATCAGCATCGTGAATTCCTTTCTTTATTGTTTCAGCTAATACTGATATGTGTCTAGATATTTTGGGGGGGAAAGAACCAGTAACAATCACAAATATATGGATTAATGTGGATGAAAAAGTTGAGGAAGAGCTCAAAATGACAATGTGAAACGAAGTTAGTCAACTAAAATGCAACTTTCAAAATCAAAACAGTTTTACAGAACTTATAAAATTACACTTTTGCTTCAGGTCTAATCCTCATCTTTCACTCCTATTCTAATAACTATTTTCATAGGTAAACTAATTTTTAACAGCTGATTCTCCACACCATCCCCCCACCTTGTCACACTTCTTGAGCTCTTTTTAGCTGTCATGACCTCAAAAATCAAAGCTCTAATTTTCCATAATCAGAATTAATCTGTGTAGAAATAGAAAATAATGAGATAATAACAACCTTAAAGAGGTAGGTTATATCACATTTTCATACTAAGACAAGGGAAGCTCTGGTAGCCTAGTGGTAAGGAGCTAAACTACCAACTCAAAAGGACATAGTTCAAATCCACCAGCTGCTCCATGGAATAAAGATGGTCTATTACCTCTTGTGCTTCTGAAAACCCTCTGGAGGGTTGGCTATAAGTCAGTTCTAACTGAATGGCACAAAAGAACAACTTCCATAGTTCTACTACTATTAGCATGAACAATCTTATAAAATCTTAACCATATGTATTTATAAATATGTATTCTCAATGGTTTCTTATTATCCTAGCTAAGCAGAAATAATAAATGTCTTATGGAAGATTAATAGAGATTAGGGAGGAAAAATAAATAACTGAAATGAATAGTTTCCGTGATCTCACAGAACAAAGACAAATGATCACTTTTATTAACCCACTAACAGTCTCTGCGTGCCTCATACCTTTATTCACTCAATAAACAAAGAGTGATCACCAGCTAAGTGGCAGACAACATACTGGCTGGAAGATGGATGAATACCAGAGGAGGATATTTTTGGAGGGCTTTTTTCTCAGCTTACCTAGCCCCACGTTAAGTCCCCTAAAGTCCACATTCCAAAACTATTACCAAATACTAACTACAACTAAATACTAACTACAAGTGGAAAACACAGATCTGTTAAAAAACCCGTTGGTACTGCTTTCCAGTAACTGATTACAGCTAATATTTTCCCTTGTAGAGACTAAGCTTTCTACTTGACCAATGACACACAGAATGAGACTTACAGACTTACTGAATTTATTAAACTTCTATTAATATGAAGATAAATAAAATATCTAAATTGCTTTGACATTCTTTATAAACTATACGGTATGTTGTTGGTGTGTGTTGTTGAGTCAGAACTGATCCATAACTGACCTTTCAGCGGGTATTCAGTGGCAGTTTAATAGCACGAGAGGAAAATGTCCATCATTCTCTATGGAGGAGCTGGAAGATTCAAACCTTGTGCTTCCAGGATGGCACCACAGCTTCTTACCACTAGGCCACCAAAGCCCCCTACACTATACAATATACTATCTATAAATGGTTAGCACAAAAGTCCTACAGAGCCGTGCCGGGCCACTAATCAAAAGGTTGGTGGTTTGAACCTACCAGGCACTCGTAGGGAGAAAGATGAGGCAATTTCTTTCCAAAAAGACCTACAGCCAGACCTTCCCTCCAATCTACCCTCAGGAGGAGGGGGAAAAAAGATCTGCACCCCCAGAAATTTGAGAGAAGGACGTCACAAGTGGGAATCAACTCAACTGCACTGATACTGACACAAAACACCTTCCATGTTTCTTTTAACTCTGAAAGTACATACAAAACTCAAACTAATTGCCACCATGAACAGTCATGGCTGCTCCTCCAAGCAGGTTTTTCAGGAGGCTCTGAATCCCATGGGAAGAGATTTCCCTAGCCTTCTCCTCTGGAACTGCTGGTGGATTCAAAGTGCTAGAAAGGTACAGCCTGTGGGTTAGCTGAGCACCTCCCTACAGACAAGGCCAGATACCTGTACTCCACGGCAAACAACTACCTAGGGACTACAAGAAGGTAAACGGTGGAGATACAAAACAAATAGAGACACACTTCAAGAGGTCTACCCTAATCCTACTTCTTATAATAATGATTTGAATGTTGCCCTCTCCCATTCATTAAGGAGAGAACTAACTACCCATGAGTAAAAATGAAAATTCTCTAATGTGTGAAATTCCTTTTGACCCAAGAGATTGTAACCAGCTCTTAGGAACTGGTAGGACTGTTACCCACCAGGACATGAGCTTCTTGGCTTCGTGGTTACACATCTGAAACATTTTGTAGCATGCTGCTACCTTAATAAGTGAAATACAGTATAACAAATAAATTTCTTAACTTCTTCTGCAGAGTAGGTTGGGTCAGTAAAGTATTAATTGTCATGATATAATTTGGAAGAAAAATGTTTCAAAGCAATGCTCACCGTTCCAAAGAATGTGTCTGCCATTCTTGTAAAAGTAAATCTAAAAATTCAAAGCAGCGTCTGAAAAATGTTGAGGGAGGGAAAAATATAACTTGAAATTTGTATGGTAATGGAAAGAAATCAGCTTATTCCTTTTGTCTTTATTCAATTTTACTTTTACTGTGGTAAATACATACATAACAAACATCTGCCATTTCAAACATGACTGTTATCAAGCTTCATATTTTTCCACTATTTTTTAAATAACCAAAATGTTACTTCTTATAATTGATGACTTTTCTAATATTTTTATTAGTAGAAAAAATGGGTTCTATAGACGGAATCAGAATTATAAATGAAAGTAATTAAGCCATATATGGTGGTTGGAGAGACAAAGGACAGAGTCACAGGGATAGTGTGTAAGGATTCCATCAAATCAGAAGCTAAATGCCATGGCTGCATAGCTTAAAGAGTTTATCACTGTCACTTCTCTTACATATATCTTAATGCACACAGTATGCATGAACAAAACACAACTACACACTAACTGAATCAGAAAATCAGTATTTGCATTAACTTCACAGAATGCTTTGACAAAAACATAAAATACTGTAAAAAATAAAGAGATCCCCACATTTCTCTACAACACTGTCAGAGGTAATGACTGAGAACTTCAGCAATTCTGCTCCTTTATTCTCCTTACTCTTTAAGTATGATTCCTTTTCAAGTCTTCTCATTTCTGTGATATTTGGTGATCTAACTTCTGTATTCTTAGAACCCTTGAGTGTCCAGGATTTTTATCTTTATAGGAGTAAATCCGAATATTCCCAAGTACTCAGGTGAACAAACACAATTCAGAAGGTAATCTTTCCTAATTAAATGGCCAGATTTTCTCATAATCTTTTTCAGTTTAAAACCATATAACCCATAAAATTACTAGCTCATTATAGCTTTATTAATTTTTTACCTTGTGCTAGATGCTAACGTCTGGGAGTACACAGGAAAATGATCTGTGTCAATTTTAGGGCTGGAAACAGCATAGCAAGAGGTTCATAAAGCAGTTTTCTCAAAAGAAAAGACACAGAAGCACATCAATCCCCCTTGATTCCTGCCACTTCCCTTAGCTCCAACCCCAGTCTACATGATGTTCATTCAGCTTTTATCCTCATGCCATACCACTTGCCCAGTGCAGATTTTTCTTCATTGTATTTTTTCTCCATTTATCCAAAACTCATCTCAAAATACGATTCCATTTTCATCTCATCTAGAATGCTTCATGGGACAACATAATAAGCTGGTTTTAATCACTGCCTTCTCTGAACTTGCTAAGGCCAAAGTTATCACTCCCTGTTTCATATACCACCTTGTACTATGCTTGTTTCATCTTTAAATAATCTCTAACTAATTTATAGAGCATATTAAAGGCAAGAAAATTATACAGTCCATTTTTCAAAAAGTCTACAATGCAGAGTTATATAAAGGTTGGACGTTCTTGTTTACATTATTCTCTCTGCTCTCAGGAAGTGAGACCTGCTTGCCTGTATGAAGCCACTAGGTTAAATATGCCTAACCGCGTAATTTGCATGAAGACACAAGGTTCTGCACCAGTAATTTTGATGTGACAGGTGGGTGACATTTCTATCATCAGAGGTTATAAGTGCTAAGCATCCTGCAATGCTCCACAACAAACAACTGTCACTTCAACTTCATGTTCATGAAGAAATTCATAAAGTAGGAAAAAAGCCTAAATATCTCCTAGAAACCTAAAATACCAGATGACAAAGACAGTAACAACAGCAGCAACAAATTCTAGTAATGACTACTATTTATTTAACTTTAAGTGCCAGATTCCTTTCACCTATGAATCTGCAGAGAGGTGACTCATTTTTAATGGGTCACATAATAATAAGTCAAAGGACTAATGCTTTAACTGAAGCAAATCAGGTTCAGAAGTTCAAAACTTGCTGAGTTCATACTCTCATATCTAGGTGAGCAGAAGCTGAGCATTCTATTCCCAGGGAGAAAGTGAATTATACTTTAAGGGTAAATAGCATCCTTCAAAGATAAACAATAGAGTCATGCATTTAGAAATTAAACTCTTTTAGTGAAAAGACCACATTTCTTTCCTCTTGGTTTCAGAAAATTGGATTCTTTGCCTCTCTTCTGAGTAACTGTCAGTAAGATGGATCTTGTCACTTCATGCCTATGAGAATCCTCACCTGTGGAAGCACAGCAAGACAGAAGTAGAACCCCATGAAAGAAGGAACAAGTAGCCACAGTAAACTTGGCCCTTAATGAGAACTATTCTGGGCTAAGAGCAAATAGAAGATTCCAGAAATAAGGTCAAAAAGTAAATGCCCATGTCTGCAGTTAATTTCGTCTACAAGGTTCCCAATATTGTATACTGAAAGGCAATAGTGGAAGTGCATGAATTCCTAAGAGAATTAAACAAGGTCATTGTGTGATTTTAATTTTGATGGTGAAAAGGCTCTAGACTCCACAAGAGATATTAAATCACTTATTTGAACTAGAAGAAAAACTTTAATTCCTTACACATGACCTAGACTAGCTCATCAGAACACAAGACATGACAGGGCATTTGGGAGCAAAGTGACTGAGAATGCCAAATATTACTATCAAAATATACAAGTAACATACTTTTTGCACCCTAGGTAACACTAAATTGTTCTGTGATGTTCTAAGTTGCCAAACAGAATCCAAGTCATAGCACTGCCATTTGCTACAAAGCAGAGCTACTCCTAAGGGTTTTCTTGGCTTTAAAATTAATGGAACTAGATCACCAGGTCCTTTCCTGCTATGGACTCAACTGTTAACCTTTAAAGTAAAAAATAACGAAGAAGCCATTTGCAATACCTAGGAATCTGAATTTTACAGAAATTCCATTGATATGTATGATACTTTAATTTTTGCATGTAGTTACTTCAATTCAAACAGTGAAAAACAATTGTAAAGAGGTCTTCTTCGATCTCTCCTTCTCAAATATATGAGTATAAATACATAGCACATTCTGTCCAAATTCACTTTCCAGAAGTGTTTTCAACTGAAAGACAATATACTGCAAGGATGTTAAGTATGACTAAAAATTACAAATATTAACTATTTGAGCGCGAGGGCGACGCAGCGCGAGGGCGACGCAGCGCGAGGGCGAGGCCGCCAGCCAGGGGAACTCTCGCAGCCGCCCACCAGACCAGGGGAACGCACGCCGCCGCCCGCCAGACCGGGGGAACGCACGCCGCCAGACAAGGGAACGCCGCAAGAGGGACCCGGAAGAGACCCGGGAAGAACAACAGCCAGCCACCT